CCGCCCGCCGCCCTCCCCGGCGGTGTTTGGCACATCCAGCCTGTCTTCCATCACCTCCCTGGGGCTGGAGCCGGATTTAAATCCCCAAAATATCCTGTCCCGCTCTCCTGGGGCTTGTGACCCTCTGCAGAATGTCCCCCGGTGCTGCGGTGCGTCGCTCTGCCCCGCGCTGCTGTGGGTTGTGGGGAGGGGATGGCTGGAAGCAGGGGGGGACGGACGGACAATTTTCCTCAGCGCCTTTTATTCGGAGGAAGCACAAAACCCCTCTTCTTCCTCTCTTTGAAGAGATTTGGATGGCGGGGAGGAAATCATCCCCAGCGGGTTTGAGGGCCCTCGCGGCACTCCGGCGGCGCACGTTCGTCGCTCGTGTTCCCGTCCTGCGTGAACACAATGGTGGCGGCGTGCGTGCGTGTGGGAAAGCGTGACAAAAAAAAAAAAAAAACCAAAAAAAAGAAATTAATATGGATTTTTGGAGGGGGCTGCTCAAACTCCTGGAGGGGGTGTGAGCCCCGGGCGCCGCGCACCGTGCCCACGGCGCGCTCCTCTCCTCTCTTGCAGAGCAAGAAGTACGTGCTGATGCTGGTGGACCCCGATGCTCCCAGTAGAGCCAACCCCCGGAACCGTTTCTGGAGGCACTGGTTGGTGACCGACATCCCAGTGAGTCCCATCGCCGTACGTCGGGGTGGCGGCAGCGCGGGGGCTTCCCCGGGAACTGGGGTGCGCCGGGCGGTGCTGCCCCGCAGGGTCGGGGGCCCACGGGATGCGCCTCTCTCGGGGTACGGCGGCATCGCGGCGAAATCCCGAAGGACCAGCGTTTGCGAGAGAAATGTAAATGGCGCTGGGCGTGTAGGTAGGGGAGTGCTTCCTCGGGCTATATAGAGCGAAGCTGGTCCAAAAATATTGCTGGGTTTGTTTTTTTTTTTTTCTTCTTCTTTTTTCCGAGGAAATGCTGAAAAAAAACCCCACTTTGAAACTCCCTACCACCAGTTTTCTCTGCAGAGACAACCAGTCTCTTCAGACATCTCTTGCTGCCATATTTTTTTTTTTTTTTTGTAAAAAAAACACCAC